CTCATCGACAGTCTCCGCGCTATCCCTAGCACTCAGACTCCTAACAAAGTTACTGTAATCATAGCCTTCGTCGTCGCTATCTTCACCATCTAGCTCCCTACGTCTCTCCATCTCTCCTTCAATATCGCAGACAACCTTTGTCGCCCACGCCAGTCTGACACCGCCCTCTCCAACAGCGACGTCCCTCCCCTTCCTCCTCTCCCGATTCATTCTGAGCAAATCGCGTCTTGCTTCCAGGATAGTAGTGAACTGTCCAGTCTGCTCGTCATACCCCAACCAAGCATCTTTATCCTCCAGCATCTCCCCACTCGTGATATTGTACTGTCGTGCACCCGCCGCCTCTTCATCCGCGTACGCCTCGAGCTTATCCGGCAACATTGCATCGATGTAATCCGCCAACGAACCAGGCATCTGGTAACTTTCCAACGTGAGTTCAACAGCTAGCAACGTATCTCTCGGTCTCACCATGGACGGGTGAATGACATCGTTTTCCGCACTGAAAGAGCGACTTAGTGCATGTCTGCTTGCACACAACTGAAGAGCCATCTTATTCACATCGCTCTTGGCGTCTTCGTACACGGCTCTACTAACGGGATCAGTCGGTATGCCTGGTTCCCACATCTCAACCGGTACAGCAGTGACAGGTGTCGTTGCAGTCGGCGTCCCAGTCGCTGACGTCTTGGGCGTGAGCGAAGCCCAGTGCCCACCTTCAGCGAAAGCATTCTTGACGGGGCCAGCTGCTGTGGCAGAAAGAGGGGTTGCGGGGCCTGCAGATACGACATCCCAGCGTGGCCGCGGTGTAGTCGGGGACCCAGTCTCGATGCGTGGGAGATATGCTGGGCGGAGCGGATGTGCGCCCGTCGGTGCAGTGAAGGAAGAGGAGTTGTAAAGTAGTACATGGCGTCCTCTGGGAGCGACGATGGAATGGATGGGTCTGGGTGGCGGACGCCAACCTATGACCATCATGTAGTCTTCTTGGTTCCTACGCCGTATGCATTTCACAGCTTGATGCCATTTGGCTGAGGAGAAGTAGTTCGTGGTCCAGTTCCTGACTTCTTCCCAGAACTTGGGGTGTTGCTCTGTAGTTAGGCCTTTCAAGCCAGCGGCTTCGTGTCGTGCTATGGGCTTGCCGGTGACAGGCGAGATCACGCTGTCCGAAGTGGTAGTTGTGACGCCTGGCATGATGAAGTTACCGCATGGCGGGTGTGGTTGTTGTGGGCGCAGTCGAGGCGAGACTGGTGGAGGCTGAGCGAGAAGATTTAGAGTCATGCGCGTCGTATAAGGGCATATCAGTGTCTTGGAGAGAATGTGATGGCGAAATGAGATATTACGGCCGGCGTTTGTTGCGTGGCGCAACAGTCACTCGCGGGAACTGGAAAGCAAACGCTCGCAGGCCCGACTCGAGGTAAAACATATTCGGTGAAGAGAAACAATCGTGGACATGACGCAGAGAGCACCCGTGATAAGAGAAACATAATTCCAGGATGACGAGGTGAAAGCGAGACACGATATGAGATACTGGTGGTTTCAGTCGGTTGAAAGCATCGTTCCGTCCAGGTCCCCTAGACTAGATGAAGTCGTGAACAGATTGTCACTGTGACATCGCAACAGCCCGCATATCATGCCAGAGAATTCAAATCTCCCGCTCCTTGGTTCGAACGTCCACACGGGTACAACATTGAAAGCAAGACGGACATGAAAATATATAATTGACCCAGAAAGGTTATCTAGGTGGTATCAACCTTTTAAACTCCGCTCATGCGGATGCGACATCTAGTCTAAGAAGGTAAAAAGATTTGTATGTACAACATTGAGAGCACGGTCGGCTTCGCGCTCTTCAATGACACAGGAGATGTTGATCTCGCTAGCACCTGGGAAAAGTTAGCAACCGCACAAGTATAGTTGTTGACAGCACGACATACCCTGCGATATCATCTCAATATTGATGTTGTTTTGGCCCAACACGCTGAAGAATCTGCCAGAGATACCAATCATGTTCTTGAGCTGTTTACCCACCAAGCTCACGATAGCCTGCAGACATATAGTCAGTATACATCTCACAAGCATTTCATGCAACCACAACTTACCATATCAGGCACGATGTCAATCGTACCGAGCTGTCCAAGGTCGTTGACAGCGCCCTGAAGATCCTTGCTCTGGATCTTGTACTCGTCCTCACCACCACCACTCAATAGCGCAGATTCAGAGTGCAGCGCCATGGATACATGAACCTCAGAGGAAGAAATGAGGTCGACTGACAGATGCCAGCGATCCAGGATGCTGAAGATATTCATCAGGAATCCATGAGCGCGCGTACGCTTGTTACTGTGGACGTTCAAGACGACGATATTGTGCTTGATAGTAACAGCCGTAGGTCTCTTTGGGCCCTCGAGCTGCGTAAGCAGGCTGGCGGACCTTGTACGGAAGAGCTTTCCGTCGCGGAGAGGCGCGCGGTCGTCGATAAAACCGGGGTTGTCGGGGAAGATGACAGTGCCGGCATTGCGTGGGTTCATGACATTTTTGATGCGAATGGGAATGCGGGCGCGGATTACCTGCTCCATGGTGAAGGGATGGATAACCTCGGAGCCGTAGAAGGTCAGCTCAGCGGCCTCGGAGGGCGTGACGGTGGGAAGCAGAGCGGCGGTAGGGACCTTGCGTGGGTCGGCGGTGAAGATGCCATCGACCTCCTTCCAGACCTGGAGCTCCTTGGCCCGGGTACCAACAGCTACCAGAGCGGCACAGAGATCGGTGTATCCACGGCCAATGGAGTTGAGCAGTCCGCCGGGCACGTTGCCAAAGTAGCCGGTGATGACGGGGACTTTGTCGCCGCATGCTGCGACTTCCTTGCCCAGATCCTCGGCCAGGTCCTTGTAGAACATGTCGTACAGGCCGCCCTTGACAGGCGCATTGAACTTGACCACATCGCTCAGGTCGACGAACTGCGCCGGCGTGCCGCGATCGTTCAGGATGGCAGTCATGTACCGGCAGCTCAGCTTCTCGCCTTTGCTGATGATCTTGTCCTCGGCGCGGTTCGTCACCTCCTCCAGGTGCTGGGCCGACTCGAGGATCTTGACCAAACTTTCGCACTCGGCATTCACGTCGTCGATGTAAGCAGCCAGGATGTCGGGGTTCTTCAGAATGTCCCTGCCGGCCTGGATGTGGTCGGTGCGGATGGCCTCGACAATGTCGTCGTAACCGCGGTGGTTGGGTTGTTCGGCAGCGCGAGCGGCGCGGAGGAGGCGGTTGGTGGTTCCTTCGAGCTTCGTGTTGGAGCTGCGTGCGGAGCAGACTATAGCCGCGCGGTTCGTCTCAAGGCCAGCTCTATTGTCGTGTCAGTGTCTGTCGAGTAGGTGACATTTCTCCAGGTAAATAGGAAGACATACTCGACGATGCCCGCTATGTTCTCCGCGAACTTGCCCACACTTGTACCCCCGAACTTGAGCACCACCCAGCCGCCCGGCAGGTGCTTCTCTTCCGTGTGCGCTATCCGCTCCGACTCGTGTGTGGTTCCGTTTGTGTATGCAGACATGTTGGGCGAGGGTGCTTGTGCTTGTGGCGATGCAATTGGAAATGTGTGGTGTTCTGCTGGTTGGTGTAGGGTGGGAAGGGGTGCAAGACGTGGTATCTATATGCAATGACGTGTGTAGAGCAAAGTATGGAGTAGTGGAGAGCAAGTGAGGGAATTCTCAATGTCTTTTAGTGGGGCCTGAGTCAGAAAGTTGATGTTCCCGCCGCAATCGGCTGCACCGCACGCCCGCGAACCACGACAACACAAACCTTGAACCGGCAGAAACAAAACTCTACGGCACGGGTCGGCGCATGCGTTCTTCGTCTCGGTAACCAATGATGCTTCTGCACCCAGATTATTCCGCCCTGCACTGCACTCTTCGCCGTCCGCCCAAGAACACCACGTCTGCTGGCCCTCTGTGACACTTGACAGCTGTCATCGCATCTCGGCGCCTTGATAAATTGCCCTTGTCCGCGCCCGGTAGTCGCGAGTCCGGGCCATCGGCAGTTGGTTCGCTGCCTGGATTCCCTATCTTGTGCATCCGCCGTGCAACACCACTGCAACCACAGCAGTCTCTAGTTGTCTCTAGCCCACAGCACATGACCTGACAGTGACTATACTCACGTTCCGCGAGCACATGTTGGACACGCGGATCCTCAACAACGAGATGCGGACCCTCACGAACCCACGAGAAAGACACGGAACCACACGCGGAACACCATCTACAACATGATGCGGAACCTCACCACCCACACGCGGAACCCATCAATGAGACACGCATCCCCGTTGACAACAAATCGCAACTAGTATCCCACGTCCATGGGCTTCTCCTAATCTACCAATACCCAATCCTAACCCGAGATTCCAGCGATTCTAGACCCAAGATCCCCCTCTACAGCAGAACAATCTCCGTAAAACCTACGAGATACTTCTAAAGGTAACGAGTGCATGGGTATGTCGACCCTCTAGCTTCTCCATTCTGCAGCTAGCCCGTTCCGATAGGTTCGGGCATGGCTCGCAATATGCTGGCGACTTCTTACACAATGGACTACAAGACCTATACAAACTACTAATTCTCCGAGAGTACATACAGGCGCAAGCTACGTATTGCGGAGAAAAGCACCGAGACCTGGAGTTGTCGTGTGGGTAATACGCTAGCACGCACGAGCGATAGAGAGCATCCGTGACATTACTAGGCACAGTTCACGCAGCAGACTACTGGTAATCTGGGCCAGTAATAGACGGCTGATGCGGTACCGAAGCGTGATATCTGATGTTGTCGTCGGAGCGCCAATCTGATGTATTGAGTATTGTCTCAGCTATCTCCTCGCCCAGTCTATTTCAGAATCAAGAGCGACACTTCCCACGCGCTCTTGGTTCAATCCGACGAGTGAATCCACTACAGTTCCTCGAGTCTAAACGCTGCCAGTTCGATCTAATAAGTCTACCGAGTAAAGGCACTACCTAACCTGATAACATGCATTCCAAACCGCTACGCCCTAGCCGTGTTCCTCAACGTCTTCTGTATGCAAGCACAGAGCTCTGGTATCCTGAATGGCTTACTAATCACATCGTCCATTCCTGCTTTGAGTGCCACCTCCACCTGCTCACTCCGCACATTAGCCGTCACTGCTATGACGGGTACGTGTGCTCTTACGACCCCTTCCTTCTGCAACTCCCTGATATTCCTAACACACGTCAACCCATCCATGACAGGCATCTCCCAGTCCATTAGAATGAGCGCGAGAGCCTTGCCAGAGCCATCCGATATACAGTACTTTGTCGTACGCAAATAGTCCAGCGCTTCGCCTCCGTGATTCGCCACAGCGACTTGCATTCCCGTGTTTCGCAGCTGCTTGGCGAGGACGCGCTGGTTCACGAGGTTGTCTTCGACGATGAGGACGTAGAGGTCCTTGTGCGGTATGTCGTTTGCAAGAACGGCCGATTCGAGCAGCGGTTCGTCCGTCTCGTTGCGGGCTCGACTTGAAAGCAGCGTTTCCTGGGCGCGTATGCTCAAACTGACGGCGGCATCGCTCTGCGTGCGGTTGAAGTCGGGACGCAAGGCACTCCTGCGGCTCTTGACGTAAAAGGAAAAGGTGCTGCCGACGCCCGCTTTGGATGCGAAGCCAATGGCGCCGCCGTGCATCTCGGTGAGGCGTCGTGAGATGAAGAGACCGAGGCCGGAACCACCTGGATGCTTGTTAGCGAAATACATTGTCTCTTCCCGATCAGACGTTACCATAGTCGATGTGTGTTCGTGGAGAGGTTTGGGAAAAGCGAGCGAAGAGAAGCTCGTGTTCTTCGTCGCTCAAGCCACGACCCGTGTCCTGCACGGAAAAGATGACATAGACCTTTTTTTTTCATGTTAGCAGCAGCCCCTAGCACATGTTGTTGCTCAATGAATGACTCACGATTTCGCCCTTTTCCCAATCCGCCTGTAGTGTCGCTGCCTCGGAAGCGTCCGAGGTGCGCGAGAATGGCACACTGAAGCTGTGAGTGGGCTGCTCAAGGGAGATGCCCAGGCTCACGGAGATTTCACGTATTTCCTCTAGCCGCGTGAACTTGATAGCATTCGTGATGAGGTTCTGTTTTTGCTTGTTAGCCCATTGCAACTTTCTTAGATCTCGCGCGCCCACTTACAATGAGTATCTGCAACACCCTTGTCGGGTCAAGCGATACATGGTCGATTTTGATCTTCTTGCACGACTCTTCAAGCTGGAACCGCAAGTCTACGCCTGCGGACCTGGCCTCGCCTTCAAACATCTTGACTGCATCTCTTGCGATGGAATCGAACTTGACGTCGACGGGGGTCATGACGAATAATCCAGAGTCTAGTTTAGACATGGTAAGCACATCGTCCACAATCGTCTTCATGTGCTTCGAGCATTGAACAATAGTCTCGGCAGCGTCCACGGTAGTCTCCAGTATGCTTTGGTACACCTTCTGGTAGTCTGTCGACTTGCCGAAGCTCTTGTGCGCTGCGATGATGCTATCCGCGCATTGAACGATTGCAGAAAGCGGATTCCGCATCTCGTGGGACGTTGTATCAATGAAGTTCTCCAGGCTGCGCTTGGACTCTCGAGCTCTTGTTGCCTGCGTAGCTTGCAGCTTCTCGCCCCATTTTTGCTGACTGATGTCGGTACAGCAGCCGATAATCTCAATCACTTCTCCCTCGTCGTTGAGCTCGGGGAATATCGATGTGATGACCCACATTGGCTCTTTCTCGGGGTATGTATCATCGAGATTCTGGCTGGGTGCGTTCCATCTCTTCTTGAGACGCAACTCGAATGACCTGTTGGTTGTAAGTTTCGTCAAACACACATACACCAGGAGATGGGTATGACTTACTGATGCTGCTTGGTCTTTACCAGTTCCTCAAACTTCGATTGACCCATTTCAATGAACTCGTCGTCAATGATCTTTTCCCATGCATCGGCCAGATCAGTCGAAGGGTCCACCGGGCCCAGCATCTCGAACCAAGCCTCATTCCTGTACGAGTAGACACCATCCATACCTATTAGGAAGATGCCAATATCGGCGCGTTCCGCAAAGCGTCTGAACTTGGACAAATTCCGCTCAGACTCTTGCTGAGAAAGCGTCAGTTGGTGCTTGAGTTGGAATTTCATCGCTTCGGCATTAGCAATAGTCCGCTCTCGGCGCCCGATATCCTCTTCATGGAGTAGAATTGATGTCAAGCATGTAGATAACAATCGGCTTGCGACTAGAATGAACTGGAGATAGTCTTCATCAAACGGACGGCGAGGATTGATGCCAAGGACCATAAAGCCAAGGATGTTATCCTTCGAAGAGGTCGGGTTCAATGGACAGATGGCCGCCGCTCGACAAGGGTCACCGAAGCCCTGCCAGTCAACATCTTTTACCAAGTCTGCAGCCATGGGATCCTGATCGAACCGAATTATGATCGGCTTTCGGGCTGTGAGTGCCTGGCGAAAGTACGGCGTGAATCCGTGGTCTTGTTGAAAGTCGAGATTATCGGGACCTGCTGGTGAACCTTTCGGCAGACCGAAAGAGCCGCGCAGCTTGCAGTGTTGCTGGTTGGTATCGGAAAACCGCGTTCTGCTTGATTCTGAACCGTGGCCGTCGGCTTCGGCTGAGTATAGCAAAGCAAATGGAACGTCTTTGTCGTTGCGAGATAGGACTTCGGTCGCAAGGACCCAGTAAGTGTCTGTGTTGCGCGCCCTTGGTATCTCCTCGCTTAGCTCCAATAGTGTGCGTGAACGTCTTTGCGTGATGACTTGTTTGGTCTAAGCGTTTGTCAGTAGCTTTCACGGCAGCTTTGCAGTATGCACAAATTATTCCCAGCGGTCATAAGCCTGCGTTTCCATAGTCTCTCGAGTCGCGTGAGCTTTCCGTTGCCGTGTAGGATCGAATCTGACTGTAGAAGATGAAGGGGCAAGAGAAAAGAACAAGGATACAAGAAGCATTACTTACCGTCTCTACCAAAGGCTCATAATGTCCAACTGTGACGCCCTCGGAATCGAATATAGGTATGAACTTTAGCGAAAAGTAAGTTTCTTCCATGAAGCCGTTCCGCACCATATGTATAACCGTGTTAGTCTTCTCCACCGTCTCCCCCGCCAGATTCGTATCTATGATGGGCTCAAAATATTCAGCCCAGACGGAAGCAAGAGCGACGCGAGCACTCATTCCCATGCAAGGATGAAAGCCACCCAAGAGCTCTATCTCTGCTTCGTTATAGATCATAATCAGGTCCGGTCCGTAAAAAACTACCGCTGGTCTTGGATCCTGCATGACAAGGTTGGCAATGCTCCGTAGTTGAGATGGCCAGGACGACATCGGCCCAAGAGGCGTAGAAGCCCAATCGATACTGCGCGCCCACGCCGCATGTGGTGTCAACCGCACAGGGGGAAGCTCATCTGTCCAATCGAAGTTTGGTGCTTTTCGTTTGGACGTCTTTCGACTCAAAGGCATCATTTCGGAGCCTTCCCCTTCTGCGCATGTAGCAGCGGAGATACCGCTAATGACGTTCCACCGGTCAGCCACGTGAACCCTCGTCCAATTGAATCCGTGGTAGAGAAAAGGTTTACTCGTCGTGTCCTGTTCCAGAGACCAGCTTCGAAACGCGATGAAAGGAGCATAGCCCTTTTGGTTAACACCAGACGTGCCGCCATCGCGGGTTAATTGTTGCAACAAGCCTCCAGGGTCGATTGCAGCCATGGCCGAATTCCAGTATTCCAGAAGACATCCATTCTCAGCAGCTAAGCTATCTGGTGAAGTGTCGATAATGAAGGTTGGTCGTGGGTCTCGATGCAGCAAGTCCAGCATGCCGACACGATGCAGGGGTGACGTGCCATTCTGAGACGATGGTTCGAGGGGTCGCTTGTCGAGTGAAGGCAATGCCGTCATGATTGGGCTGATCCTAGCGCTGCATATGGCCGTCTGCCCTCCTCTTGCGCAGTCACTACAGATGATGATGCTGTGCTAAATGTTGCTCTTGTCGCAGCCATGTGGAAGCGCTGTCATGTATTCTAGGTGGGCTTGGAAAAGTGGAATGGATCTAGAAGCCTAGGCCGGCTACGTGGATCGGCCGCATGCCGCTAGCCGGATTTAGCGCCGATCCCTCGTGATGGCTCGAGGACGCGTCCATCTTTTGAAACAATGATACATCTACATCACTTACCATCTCCATCTCGCCGTTCTGCATTCGCAAATTCTCTGACAGTCTGAAGTTGAGCGGGACGATTGGCTATCGATGATACCTAGGTAGTCGGTCACTTACCTACGATTTCATCCAATGACGTCGCACTTGAGCCAGGCATCCTCATTTCTGCACTGCGTCACGCCATAGCCGATAGCAGGGCACCTAGAGGTGAACTTTGAGTTCTGAAACAAGACATTCTTGGGTCCAAGTTTAAGCTTTATCGGTAGTAGGGAGCGTGGTATACCGAGAGTCGCATGTAAGAACCTCAAGAAGAACATTGGCAACCACAACTTGTCCATGGCAGGGTCATTCTCACAGTTAGTTACAAATGACCCTGCATCTCCCACAGCTTTTGGAGTCTTCATACATCTTATTTTGTAAAGATCGCACGTCCGGGTAAATACACGAGGCAGTTCACCGATTGTCCATTCTGCATAAGGCTGCGCATTAACGCCGCAATCAATCATGGTTCGGAAGGTTTACACAACACGTCAGCAGATGCAGGAAGGTAAATCGGTTTATACTGGGGGGGTTTATCGATTCTGCAGTTGGGCTTCTAGCGTGGTTCAGCCTTGTTGGCTGGCCATCTGGTTATGAACGGGAGCTCTCCCTCGATACCTGAGCCTTGTGCATTGCTGAGCTCTACAAATCGTCACCTCCTGTGGTCATAATTTGAGAATATGATGCCTATCATAAGTTCGGCTACATCACTCGGTACTGTAACTGTACAAACCCACCTGTCAGGCCAACGTTCAACTCACTCCTCTACCGAATTCGACTCCAATCAAGAGCGACTTCCAATGGTCTCACAGCGGAGTCTTTGTCACTCCCTACGGGACATCGCTCGCCATCGGATCAGGGAGGGTAGCGGACCTTACATCTGTATTTACCCCAACTCCATCATGTGTTGACAGATGGTTGTTAGCACCATCGCCGTCTTGCGCCATAGATGACACACCCATTGGCCTTGATACCGTCTGGTCCGTGAATCCTACGCGATCGATCGTCTCCGATGTCGCGTACAGTAACTGCCAGCTTTATGGAACGGCTACTTATAGTCCTGGGATATGTCCTAGCGGTCAAACAATTGCAGAAATAACTGCGTATGCAAGCAGTATGTCGAATGGAACCAAATCTTTCTGGCAAGCGAGCTGTTGCAAAAGGTTCGGCGCTGTTGCTCTCTATCTGTAAATATCTGTTTAGCTGACGTGGGACCAATAGCGACATGACCTTTGGCCCGGAGCACCCAGATGTTTGCCTAAGTAGCTTTTCGACCCCTATCCGTGCTTACGCTGCGATCATAACGGAATCTACGTCCGACGGCGAAAACATCACTCCGGTCTAGGAATATACATCCAAGTACGGTTCTGACGGGACAACTGTGATTTCTAGTATCACGACGATTGCAACAGGTCTAGCGGTTGCTGATCCTGTCGTAGTCGCCTGGCAGATCGACGACGTTGGAACGTTTCCAAGTGAATATGTCAAGTCGTTAGTTGCGAGATATAGTATACCCTCACCAGCTAGTACGTCTACGCCAACTATCAACGCATTAGAGCCAACGACTGCACCCACATCCAACGGTCTCAGTACAGGTACGAGAGTGGGAATTGGCGTCGGAGTGGCGCTTGCTGCTGCTCTTGCTGGAGGCCTGTTGATCTTCTGGTGTCTGCGACGTCGTCGAAAAGCTGGCGGGACGGAGGGACCAGATGCTGTGATATCGGAGATGGAAGATCAAGACCATACTCATACCGAGCGCAAGTGGTACTTTGGTGGACGATGGAGGAGTGAGGTTGATGCCAAGCGACTCAAAACGAGCTTGACTCGAAGGCGGTGCATGTTGTCCCTGGACCACCGGCTGAATTGGAAGCACATGAGCCTGCGGTTGAATGTGCCAAGATTGCAGGAAACGATGACGGCAGAGCTCTTGAGCGGGTATAATTGTACACAGCACTCGACGGAATCAGACCTGGAGAAGATCTTTTTGGCTTTATCCACTTCCAAGGAACCGGAACACGGCAACGAATATTACATGACTTCTTTTCTTTTGGTTTGATATGCTCCGCAGTCATTACTGTGCTAAGCCGAGTAGGTTCTTTCTCTCACGTCCTCAGTGGACCGATACGGTCTCTCAAATACTCTGGAAACGATCTTGCGATTACTGCCACAGCAGCTCTTTTTCGTCTCCTTCATGATTTGATGCTATCGCGATAGTAATGCTGAGTCTGTGAGGAAGAAAATACACTAAAATTCGTCTTGGTTCACCTAATCTCCGTTTCGGTCTCGCGAATCACGGTGAAACAAGCTTCTATGAGCAGGGAGCGTTTCATAAATCCTTCATCTTCAAGCCGCCCACACTAGGCTTGAACAAGCAGAAAGCGGGCCCAACTAAGGCTCGTTCAGGCTTAGCGTCTCCGTCGCGAACGTTTCACACCGGACTTTCCATCACCAAACGGCTGTCATGCCATCTGGCGTCCTGTCAAAACCGTTCATGCCTGCAGATACCACTTGCGCGATACTCAATGTAGTTGCGCGCGTTTCCTGGATATTAGCCATGCGATGCGTTCGCGCTGTCTAGAAGCCAAACTAGGCTTTGGAGGAATATGCGCCGAGTCAAGTCGAATTCTTATATTATCTGCTGGGCCTCGTCGTGCTTTCCAGTTCGTGCTGTCCCATCGCTCACTACTGTCATTCATTCTTCGTGTTCGTAGTATCTTCCTTCATTTTCATCAACTTACAGCTGGTCTCTGTTTCTTACCTTCCAAACATATACTTCAGGATGTTCGCCAAAACTACTCTCATGAGCGCGCTGCTCAGCGCTGCATCTGCTGGTGAGCTTTTTTCTGTCTTCCCTACGAAAACAGCTACTGATCATTACTCCAGAAATCATCTGGGATGGCCGCTTCAACGACATGACCTCCTCTTCCGAGCTCTCCGACTGGTCCTTCTCCAACCCCGTCGGCAGCTACCAATACTACATCCACGGCTCCGGTCCCGTCACCGACTACGTAAATCTCGATGCCACCTTCAAGAACCCCGCCGACACGGCGTCGAAGCAAGGTGTTAAGATCACCATCGACGAGACCGCAAAGTGGAACGGCCAGACCATGCTGCGCACCGAACTCATCCCCCAGACTAAGGCTGCCATCAACAAGGGCAAGGTCTACTACCACTTCTCCGTCAAGACCACGGCTGAGAACGCCCCAACTGCCAACAACGAGCACCAGGTTGCTTTCTTTGAGAGCCACTTCACTGAGCTGAAGTACGGTGCGTCTGGATCTTCCAACACCAACCTGCAATGGCACGTTGGTGGCGTCTCCAAGTGGGACGTTGAGCTCGTCGCCGACGAGTGGCACAACGTTGCTTACGAAATTGACTTTGATGCTGGTTCCGTCTCGTTCTGGCACTCCACCGGTGCTGATGAGTTGAAGCAGACCGCTGGTCCATTCGACGCGAGCACCCAATCCAACGGTGCTGACTGGCATCTTGGTGTCCTAAGGCTTCCAGGTAACGCCGACAAGGACGGTGCTGAGGATTGGTTCTTCAGCGGTGTATACATCGAGGATGGTGAGCTCACTACCAAGGTTGGCAGTGGAGCTGCTGGCGCGGCCCCGGAGAAGCCTGCTGCCAGTGCCGCCGCACCTTCCAAGGTCGCTTCCTCTGCTGCCCCTGCTGCTACTTCTTCTAAGGCTGCTGTTGCCCCAGCCTCTTCCAGCGCTGCCGCTGTCGAGCCTCCCGTTGCTTCTTCCCCTGCTGCCGCTTCTTCCGCTGCTGCTCCCGTCGAGACTCCGGCTGCTTCTTCCGCCGCTGCTATCTCTTCCGCCGCTCCCGTTGAGACTCCCGCCGCTTCTTCGACCTCTGCTGCCGCTCCTGTCGCTACTCCTACTACTGGAGCAGGTTCTGATGCCAAGCTTCCTGAGGAGTTCACCATCAGCCAGTTCGTCGCTTGGCTCAAGGCCAAGACTGGCAAGAACTAAGCAGACGCGATGTACGCGATCCGCTTTGAGTAGTCAGCCAGTTGACACCTTACACATTCTTGTAGATATCTTTCTTCTTCACTAGCTATTGCAATACATTGTTCGCAATTCTTATCCCATAGTCTGCTGCTGAACATGATGGTTATCGATACTCAAGCTTTTGGGCTCGTCGCCACTCCAAGGTCTGTTGACAAGAGCCTCGATAAACCATTATCCAAGCTTACTTCTATTACTAGAACACCTTGGTCACCTTGGTTCTTTTCTTTCCCTATCAACGTACTATTTCATTACCCTTGGCGAATACAGTTTCCCAATGCGAATGCGACTGTACCTAAACCCTTGGCAAAGACAGCACCAAGGCCTACACCTCCCTATATGAAACCTCAAGATACGGAGAGGCCGAAACCACGCCGTATATCCTGTTGGAGCATAGAAGACAAAGTCTAGACTCCAGCTTATGCGGAATGCTTTGACCCGCGCAATGCGATGTCCATGTAGAATTTTTCCGAATTGTGCATATCTGCAGGAGGCTGACAAGAATTCCTAAGACAACGGTTTCAAGGTGTTGATTCCGTCCGAAAAGCGGTGGAGAAAAAATTATTAATTGCAGCCCTCGACTGTTGAGACTGTGCCGGCAGTTGCTACTGAGAGGCTTCCAAGGTCTTGTCCTACTGCAAGTATCGGATTGGTGTAAAAGATTTAGCCGTTCTAATATGCGGCCGACTCGTTCCCTTGAGAGCGGCCTGCATCTGGTTCTGGGATTATGTCTAGATATAGACACTGACGGTCTGCTAGGCCTCGAACGATGTTCGGCGCTCCCGAGATCGCTTGGTGAAAGAAGACGAATCTCGGTGACATCTTATCCCGAGGTATCCATCAATTCTTCTCTTGGCAACGCACCATCGAGTTTTACAATTCGAGACAAGAATCTGCGAAGTAAGCACCGATCTCCCGGGTTGATGCTGGGGTACTCGATGAGACACGCACCGTGCGAGGCGGCGCACTAGATGACTAAGAAGGTCCGATTGATCCGGTAACAGCCAAGTCCGGGGAAGCAGTGATGCAAAAGATCTGTGATAGATTCATCTCTGTAACTGCACAGCATCAAAATTCACCATCTTCCTCCCTGAGACTAAAAGTGACCTACGGTGAAATGTGACATCATCCGCGACCGTTACCTGTGAGGCGTTTGCCGAAAGCTTGCTAAACATAGTGTTACCGAACGCGGTCGAACCTCGACGTCGGCCAAATCTTAAAACCCCAGATCCCAGTACCGTCAGCCTTAGCACTCGCGATACAGAGCCTCACCTCACAAATCTTAGAAGGGAATTATATTCCTAGAATAAGACCGTATCCGCATACGTAAGGCAGGGTACGCAGAGACCTTCTACAAGGACATCAACGAATGGAAGGTATTCGATCGAGAAATCCACGCTATGGACCCAAGTACGGATATAATGTAAGCAACTTCAGAGGGCCCGTGACGGTCATCTGCCGCGTAGTCCAGACTCTCAGACCCTACACTCAACACTACAGAGATTCGCCGTCCGGGGTAACACAGGAAAGACCAAGACTTGAACTCCGGTCAGTGTCAGAACTGCAAACTTCCGAACCGTATCAGAGCTGCAGCTTCAGAGCAGCCGCCAGCATCCGAGACCAGAGCAATGATGGTAGAGATGTGTATATAAGTCAAGCAGACAGATGCCATTGAGATGCATCAACCACGAAGAAACCATCTCCTTCAAACTCTTCGCACTCTCAAATCTTCCCGGCTACTTCTATCTGTGATAGTCAGTATTCGATAGCATTTTTCAAAATCATTTGGAGTGACCGTTATCGTCTTCCTTTTTCCCCTCCCAATATACATCACGAAATATTCGCAATGTCTGCCCGCACCATGATACGGCGACCAGCAACGGTCCGCACTCTCTCCCACGCATCCACACGCACCATAGCACTCCGACGCCTAGCAACGATGGCCGACACTAAAATTGGCACTATGCCCCCGGGTCACAAAGCCACAGTCGGCCACCTCCAAACCTTCGAATTACCTGAATCACTAAGTGGAAGTGCTTCCGACAAAGCGCTAGGCAAGAGCATGATTGATGCATGGAAGCGCGACGGTATCCTGCAAATCTCCATGGACCCCATCAACCGTAAGCTCGCCGACGCTGCTTTCCTGACGAGCAAGAAATTCTTTGCTCTCGATCATAAGAAGAAGGCTGCTTGTCTCGATGACCAGAGTTTCGCGGGCTACATCGCTTCTGGCGAGGAGATTACAGATAATATCGCCGACTACAGCGAGATCTTCACTGTTACAAAAGATCTCGCACTGTCTGATCCCCGGGTTCAACAGAAGTGGCCATGTCATGGACCGTGCCCCTGGCCGTTCACGCAGATGAAGACTATCATGCAAGCGTATATGGATTACCTCGGCGAGAGTGGTGAGAAGATGTTGCAACTCATCGCTTGGGGCCTTGGCCTCAAGGACGGAAATGCTTTGACAAGGTACACGCAAGATGGCTGGCACCACATGCGCGTCCTGCGCTTCCCTCAGGACACTAAAGTCAACGGTAAGGGTAAGGCAGGTCGTGGTATTGGGTCGCACACTGACTACGGTCTTCTTGTCATTGCGGCGCAGGACGATGTAGGCGGTCTCTTCATCCGCCCTCCCATCGAAGGCGAGACGTACGCAAACTGGAAGGAGACAGCTGCGGGAAAGAACGAGGACGCCGATGGCTGGGTCTACGTTCCACCTGTCCCTGATGTCTTCACTGTTTTCCCGGGCGATATGATGCAGTACATTACCAACTCTTTCTTACCCTCTACTCCCCACAAAGTTGGCCTCAACACACGTGAGCGTTTCGCTTTCGCCTACTTCCACGAGCCCAACTTCTCGGCTGTTATGAAGCCTTTGCCTGGATTCGAGGCAGGCCAGGAGCCTACTGAGGGTATTCACTATGGCACCCATTTCACCAACATGTTCATGCGCAACTACCCGGAGAGAATCACCGCTGATAGAATGAGGGCTGAGGGCAGGATGGCATTGTTGGACTCGCCTAGCCTGAGGTGGAAAGACACACCCGCCATGGGCCTGCAGGATGTGGATGTGGACAGCACTTTCCCCGCGGTTCAGTCTATGAGCGAGAAGAGAACATCTGCATGACGATCATCTATGGAGGCTTTCTCTTTTCCTCGAGCATTTTACTTTTAGCGCTTCAATTAGCATAACGGCGTTATAGATCTGTGGTGTAGCTGCTATCAGAACTCAATATTCACTATCTTCATCTCAAATCATCCTGTTGATTGTCGTAGTCAATGAATCCGTCTTGGCCATCGAGACCGACATACTGTAAACTTGTATCGCGCAATGTCAAGTTTGCCTCGATTCAGTAGACAAAGAGAAGATCATCCAATACCTTTTGAGCACAGTGTAAAATCTGGCTGGTGTAGTAGCCGAAGCACTTGAGTATCCTGGTAGATGGCCGACTGTGGGCAGATTTGCTGGATCTGAGATCACACTAGCCGAATTGATTCGATTGCGGAAAGAGATGCGAGGTTTATATCCTCATAGTACTCTTCCAGTACGAACTAACAGCCTTTAGGCCCTTTCCAAGTTGGCAAGGTTTCTTCCAAGGATCCGACGGCGGGGAAATTCAGAGCTTCGTAGTATCCTGTAGTATCCCATTGATTCCGTCAGATTGGTCAGACGTGATGTCGATGATGATTACCACATTCTCTTTGGAAAATGTCTACTAAGTCGGATGACATTCTTCTTACGAGTGGGAAGATAACCTCCCAGAGTGTCGATTTACTTCTCCTAGAGATTTTCTGGTTTCTTTTCGAACGGGAAAGCGATGAACATAGAAGCCCGTTTCGATATTGTTATCCATACTGGCCCTGCTTGACAAGCACTGTTTTCATTTACATCATAAGAGAGGCAGTAAAACTCCAAAATCGAACATAACCCAGATCGAAACACCATCGAATTGATAGTGCTTTGCCACACAGACAACAACATTAATGAAAATCTCCCAAAAACGACAAACACGTGAATAAGCGCTTCTTAAGTGGATCGGCTCAACTCTCCATAGAGGAGGTCGAATCGGAAATCCGTAAGTTTAGTGAATGTTATGATAGTCATGCGCCTACGTCATGGTAGTTGCGCGATGCGTGAATGACCAAAGCAACCCTTTATCCTTTGTCCGAGATTCTCCCTGTTACATCTTCACACTGGTAAATTTTTTTAACCTGCCCAGTTGAATTTACCAATCACCCCATCGTGTTCTTCTTACTACACCCTCCATCTCGGTTGCAACCATGTTGAGCACGATGGCTGCTAAAAGGAACAGGCCGCGCACCAGCAATAGCAGCACTATCCCCATGATGGACATTCAGCAGCACTTCGCAAAGGTCAAGGCCGACCGAGAGAACATCGCACGCCACCAGCGATCATCTGAACAAGCGCACATCAGACGCTTTCAAAAAGAGTTCGCCCATCAGGATAGAACCAGCCGCATCGAGAACCAACTTCCGAGCCACTGGACTAGGAGAGACAAGGTCAGTATGAAGATGAGCATGGAAGAGGACTCGATGGCTGACAAGACATAGAAGCAAGTGGCTGCCCGTATTACCGTCGCAAACAAGAAGGTTCAACGAACAGTGTTGGTCGCAAATGCGGAAGATAACTCGGATGTCACAACCAAAATGACTTCCAACTCCTCCAGCAATTGCGACAAGTCGAGCCCTGAGCCTGACAGGCACAAGCGCAGCTCAAGTTCCGAGACTGACCAGACCTCCCACTATGAAAGCGACGGTGGCAAGACAGCACTGAAGCTCAGCAAGGTCTTGATGCTGCTGAATGGCGAGCATTTGAAGCTACAAGACGAACTTGGCAGTGTGAAGCACCAGCTGAGCGAGGAGCACTCTCGGTACGAGGCACTCGAGCAGAAATACACCGAGCAGCGCAGTCAGCGCGTGAACGATAAGCACTTGGTGGACCACTGGGCTCAGGAAGCTGCTGATGCGAGATTTGACTGCGCAGAAGTTGAAGGCGCAAAGCAAGCCCTGAAAGATCGTCTCGCCGACGCGAAAGAACAGCATCGAATCGATCTCGAAGCAAAAGACCGCGAAATCGAGACGTTAAAGGTTATGTATGACCTCAATGTCGCGGCCAAGGATGTGGAAATCGAGAAGTGGCACCAAGCCTGTATGCAGAAGGATTCCACGTTCCAGAAAATGGTGACAAAGCTAGTTAGCGAGCGCGACGAGACTCGGGCCAAGGCCATCAGCGAAAAGAGAAAGATCTGGGCAACCAGTAGGAATAAGACCGATGATTTGAAAGAGAAGCTTGAGGCATGGAAGACGAAATACGATCGGATGTCAGCAGATTGTGATGATGCTACTACCAAGAACAAGGAGACTATCGTCAATCTTGTCACTCGAAACTGGCAATTGAAGTTGGAGCATGGAACCATGGGTCGCATGCTACAACAAACTTGCACGAAAGGGTCCGAGCTACACCAGCTCAACCAAATTATTGAGGCGAGTACCGCGAGCAGAGAAGAGGCCAAGGAGCTCCGAAAGATGGTGAAGCGGCTGGAACAGCACAATGAGAATCTTCTCGATACGCTGCAGAACATGCAGAATGAGTGCAAACGTCACCGAGAATCCGAGCAAGATATGCGAGCTGCGTCAAAACGTGCCCATGATACTATTCAGCTCTTGGAAGACAAGCTGGCGCTCACTAAGAGTCAACTTCGCGATGCGGCGAATCAGCTCGAGAAGATACAGCAAGGCGCTGTTCCAGCGGGCGCGCATTGCGCGGCGCTTGATGAACTTGAGCAAGAGAATGAACACCTGCGAGAGTCACTTCAAACCGAGCGAAACGACAAAGCTGAGATGCAAGGCAAGCTAGATAAACTTGACAGCGAGAATCTTAACCTCTCCATCGAGTACGATAGTATCGACGCCGAGCTGATCCAGAGTAAAGGGTCCAACAGTACGCTTCGCGATAGCATGGAGGCAGCGATGCACGAGCTGAACATGCTCCGGAAAGTGGTCCAAGGCCAGCAAGGTGTTCTCGGTGAACAAGATCAGAGTGAACTGCTGAGACTAGTGAGCAGAACCACGGAAGAAAACGGAAGCCTCATTGAATCGGTAGCTAAGATGGAGGCAAAGGTGCAGGAGATCGAACAGTATGGTGCGACCATTGAAGACAAGTCTGAGAGCGAGGTGATGAAGGCCAAGGACATGAGCGACTACTGGTGGCATCTCTACCATAACGAGGCTGTCCCGACTACAGAACGCTTACACGCCGAGATTGCCGCCCTCAAAGCAGAGAAGGGTGAGCATCACTTTATCGAGCCAGCTCCACCTATGAATCCAGTCGTCTTCGACCGGAAAATGTTGCCGTGCGCTGCCATGAACGGTCTTGCAGGCGTTCCGGCTCATTTGATCACTTCGGCTGTGTGCGATGCTGAGGGCGTTACACATCTCTGTGCGACCACAGAAGCTTTGCAAACGCTACGACCTCAGGGTTGGCAACCTGTAGTCGTTGCGGGTAAAGTTTGGCTATCGAAGATGGTGAAGCCATTGTTGGAGGACGATGCCGTGACGCAGATCCAGACTTGCCATCATAACGGAGATCTGAGTAGCACAGGTCCTGAACAATCCTCGATGAGCGACACGTACAGGTCACGCAACACTCAGGTTCCTACCAACTTCATGGCACACAACGGCCTGTCGGCGCATCGTTTGAATCTGCTGGCACTGTTTCTGACGAACACTTCGAGCGAACGAGCGCAAGATCCTGTCATTCCGAAGTGCGGTAACCAAGTTGCTGCTACACGCGAAGCAACGCGGCCGACTATAAAGCAAGCGCTAAAGTCAAAGCCTCAAGCTGCATACCAGATTGCACAGGCTTCCATCATGGACAAATCACGAGTTCCTCAATGGCGAGCATCGTGGCTGAAGATTGATAGCAGGATGACACGTGAAGCGTGGGAAGATGAAGACCTTGACGACGATTTCAAAGTCAACTGGGTCAGACTCTACGTCACGAAGAAAGACGATTAAACCACTGAAGGCGTGGCTTGTTGCACTGAACAGACAGTCTTCATTGTTTGGATGCGACGAAGACAGATGGAGTAATTAGTGGCTGGCGATGCGGTGCGGTGAAGTAACCTGGACCGCAGCGCGAGGCAGCGACTGCGCGTCCGCAGTATGTGAAGCATATGTACAAGCTAACAGCCGTGAATGAGTAGACATACACAGAGATGCGCGAGATCCGGGGAATACATATGGTAGAATGGGATTGTGAATGGCCAGGGAAGGATGACGGGCAAAGTGGAATTCGCGCGGGATGCTTCTGCCCGCCCATGTTCGCACTAGATCCTTCGGACAGGACCTGTTGATCCGGGAATGACGCACATGTTGACCGGCGTTTGACATGTCAACGCTGTTTTGCCTTTTAGAGCCATCATTGCTATTTATCAGGCAATATCATCAATACGAACCAGCTGTATGTCTTCGCCCTGTGTATGACAGATGGCTCTGCTATATGAGCCTGCTACTGTCTTCATCCACGACCACACACATCCGATCGAAAAAAGTCTCACATATATGCTAACGCCATATATCACAACGACGTAGTGGAAGCTATGTCGGATTTGCGAGGCAACATCCAATGTCGTTCTATCAACTAATCTTTATGTAGTCTCGCTCGAGCTAATCGGCACATGTCGTAATATACGATCTTATCGGTCTCTCTCACCAAGAGGCCTCACCGCCGCTTCTGCGACTAAATTGCGGAGGTGCAACAGCAAACGGGCACATATAAAACGCGATCATCAGCGCGTCCTTGACTCTACTTTTTTCCGGGTAGGTGGAGGCTACCTTGCTTAGAGCGCGAATTCTTGAAGTGACGATGTTGATCTCACTTTTAACAAGAATATCGGTCGCTGAGGTGCGATTGTACACAGTATGTCCAGATTCATACACCAGTATGCTATCAGGCTAGATTTTCTTCCCTTGTTCTCGGTTTTGGACGCCATCCGGAGGTATGCTGCGCCACTGTATTGTCGCCGCTCGCCGTGCTTGTATCGTCACCCATTCACCTACCTTCACCCACCCACCCGCATCGCCGCGATCAGACCAACAGACACCCGAAGTCACGATGACGTAGCTTGTTGTAGTATCCACCGCCTAGCGCATACTTTGGCATTGTCGCGTTATTGAGCCTTTTCCAGGCCAGTCAGGTCCGCCTGCGCCACAAAGTGAAGGTGACCTGAAACACGATTTCCATACCCAACCACCCTTCCTATGCAAATCAAGGATACGCCATGGCGATAAATAAGGAATCTGGAGAGGCTGGGCCAATTGCGTCCCGCGGCTGCTTTTCGCGCTGCAAATTTTGGTAGTATCGTCCCCACGACCGCCACAAGCACTGCCCAACGTTGAGGAAAAGGTGAGCGATTTAATATGTTTTATACCCAATAACTGCTAACTAGCCTCGTGATGGCTTAGATAATACCTAGCCTCCCCCTTCCAGAGCTTCTCCGGTAGCTGCCGACTGCAATATCTACCCCTTCTTCTAACAATTCACGCCACTTTCTGATCATATCCAAACAGCCCTACGACTTCTTTAATACGCTATCTCCTAACAAGTATCTCAAGCTATGTCTTTCAGCCAGACTCCTGAGTACGCCTTGTATATGTTCACCGACGGCACCTACTTGGACGAGGACATCCTCCCCTCTGCCGACGTCCCTCTCCCTTCGATTGAGTGCACCGAAGACTTCTCGGCTAACTTCTTCGACTCGGCCTTTGGCATTGATTTCGACAATGGAAACCTCCACTCTGATATGTCTGTTTGGCCTGTCGATGGTCTGTTGGAGTGTAGTGACGACTGTCACGCTGATCCCGTCGATCTCACCTCCTCACCCCCTAAAGTGGTCGCTGAGTTACTACCGACTCCGTCTTCTCCTTCCTCTGAAAGCGCCATTGAAGCTCTTTGGAGGCCCTTGATAGGATCAGATACTATCAATGTTGCTCTGCCAGATACTCCAACTCCCTCCCGTGCTCCCGCCAAGCATCGTGCGCCCAAGGCGAAGATCTCGATGTCTGTCAAGACAACACAGAAGCCAAGGGTTACCAAAGCTAAGAAGATCACGAAGCCTGGAAAGGCTCACAAGCGCACTGTTTCGGCGCCCTCCAGCGGACCTCGTAGTGTGCAAACACTCTACACCCTACCCTGGTCACATCTTTCCCAAGAAGAGAAAGGCCTTCTCCTCCTCCCTCTTCTCCAAGGAATCGACCCAAACACGGGTGAAAAGATCGGTGAAGCTGGTAGCCTCCTTCCTCCGCCCTCTTTCGAGATGGTCACCCACGACGTTTTCGGCACCGGCGATGATGGCACCAATTTCATGGACAAGCCTTCTCCCTTGTCGACATCAAGTTCAACTACTACCAGCATCGACCTCCCTGGCGATGATTTCGACCTCTCCGACAAGGATATCGTTGTCTTCCGCGCCTGCCAAGCTTTTAACATCCAGCACGAAGCGCAGAAGAAGAACGCCCTCCCCACCGTTTCAGACTTCAGTTTCGACATACCCGACTTCGAGTTCGACGAAACCAATTGGGATATCTTCGATAACTTTATGCCTGCTACCCAGGGACTTGGTGGCCCCACTAGTAACGGCGTCGTTGGCAACTCAATCCGAAAGGTTACGACTGCCAATGACAATAGCAATACCGACAGCGCCTTGAAGCTACCTGACATCATGGGCACTGGGCTTGGTCAGATGCCGGTTCCTTCCGGCGAGTATGGACGGAAGCGCCAGCAAGAAGCTCTTGTACGCAACGCCATGCTTCGTGCTGCTGGTCGGCGTCGGTAGAGTTGTGGATGCTGTGGTGGTATCCCTTTTCATTGCTCTATTTGATTGACGGCGCGGTTTTGAGAAGCTGATTAGGTTAAGCTGATTGACATGACGTCTGGTTGACTACTATGGATGTGAGCGCAGCGGATGAAGAGAGATACGGATATGAAATGCTCACATTAACTCATCGTTAAGCAACGGATGAGCTCGAGAAAAAACATTGATAGAATAATATATGGAAATACTCTATTCTGTCCCGTGCGGTGTTACATCATCTCCTGGGATGTAGCGTTCAGATTTTCGATTCGCCGTTTCGCTCATGCTTTTTAAACAACTCATAAGCACCCTCTTCCCACTTCATCGTCAAGGCAGCACACTTAGGGTCACCTGGTGGCACTACCTGTCCACCGTAGATCCCACAAAGCCCCGTCTTACGATCTATCCACCAGATCAAGTTAGGATAGCCGCCCCAATGCATAGTCCCCGCTTTCCGGCCGTCGGGTGCATCGGATGTAATGATTATGCCGCCAAGACCGTAGTCTTTGGTCAAATGCTTTGGAGTGTTGCCCATCGCATTATTCGCCTTGGAGTCGTTTATCAGCATAGTCTTCTAGAGGTGAGCTAGCAGGATAGAGGAAGTGGGGAAGAGAGGCATACCATATCGTCCTGCATAACAGTATTCAACATTTCGCGGCTCCCCTCGCTCAATTGCGGCTTGAAAAACTCTTCCAAACTCGCCTTACTCAAAATCTTCCCCTCTCCACCCTCGTCGCAGGCCAACACGCCCTTCAATACCTTGATATATTCTCCCACACAAGTGAAACTGCCCTGGCCACCCATGCAATCGATGACTTCCTTACCCTCCCCATCTAAATACGGCATCGGCGAATCGCTATGCTTCACCTTTCCCTCTTCTGTCCTCTCGCTCATGTCTGCCATTCTAGCTTGCAGATCTGGGCGCGTGGAAGGGAAGAATGTAACATCAATAATATCAAGTGGTCCCCACAAGTTTTTCTTCATGTATTCTTCGAGTGTAAGACCGGATATGCGCTCGACGGCTAGACCGATGTAGTCGATACCAGGGCCGTATGTCCAGCTGGTACCGGGCTCGAACATGAGGGGGCAGTTGAACCGCTCGAGTAACTTCCCACTGCCACTAGGACGCTTCTTATGGTACTTCGCCCATGCCGCTGCTAACGGGTGGCCCATGCCCTCGTATACCAGACCGCTTGAATGCGTCAAAAGGTTCCGTAGCGTAATCGGTTTCTTGTGCTTCTCTTCAATTGGAGCACCCTCGTCAGTAAAGCCGGTCAGTACTTTGAACGCTTCTAGTTCGGGGATGATGCGGTAGATAGGCTCATCCAAGGTCACCTTCCCGCGCTCAACGAGTTGCATAGCACTGATGGAAGTCATGAGTTTAGTGCAGGATGCTACCCACATCATGGTATTGAGATCGAAAGGTTTGGCGCGAGAAGAGTCCATGGAAGTGGCGCCGAAGGCTTTAGAGTAGGTAAAGGAGCCTATTGCTTGTTAAAAAACGGTGGGTAAGGACTTTAAAGAGAAGAGAGCGATTACCATCGCGACTTGTAGCAGCCAAAGCACAGCCAGGAATTTCTTGCGCAGCGACGGCGTCTTGGATGGCGGTTTCGAAGTCTACCATTTTTGCAACGAATGTGGCGTTCAGACTGTTTGTTGGGGGATCAGTTGATTGGAAGCAGACTTCTGGTGTTTCCTTTGGTATATAAGTGCGAAAGGATACGCTAGTATTGTGACAAGCCCGAAAGACGTAGTCGATGTCAGAAAGTCAGGGATCACTATGTCAGAATTCCCACTTCAGACCTAGCACAACCGACACGGATGGAAGAAGCGGCACACTGACATAAAGAAGCTTTTATAGTAGCAGTGCCGCCTGGTATGCGCTGTCGGATTTTCGTCCGTTGTACACTACGATGGTGTACCTCGGTTCATTACGGGCGGGGCTTGAATGTTATAGCCGTTAGTCGCGACGTCGACAAGGCGGCACGGGCTCATCAACGAAGCAGCAACAAAGAAAGCATGAGAAGGACGCAATGCCATCTCTCTTGCTTTTGGATTTTGTCTTCCCGCCAAGCCGCAAATCGCAGCTGTCGCATCACGCGCAACATCTGGACGATGTACCGCCTGTCTCAACACTTGTTGACTTTCGCGACATCGCATATTCTTTACGACAGACACATCAAATGTGGAGCGCACCCGCCTATCTAATCCCGAACTTATACTCCTTAGGCTCGCACAACACCATTCGATTCCCCGATATCATCCTCACCGCTACCAGAATCTCAGTCGTACCTGCGTTAAAACTCAGTATCGGGCCTTCATGCGCAGGTGCTCAGTAATCTTCGCCAACATACTGATCGATAACACGAACTTTATCTGAAGTCTTGAATCCCCACAGCATGATCATGAACTCGTCCGACAAGTTGTGAAGTTCCTTGTCCATCTTGTAGCTATCTTCGTTCCGGATGACCTCCGCTATTCCTCGTATCTGTGTTTCTACGTCTTCTACCTCGGGCTGGGGATGGGTTTCAAAATGCGTTGTCCATGGGCCGGGATCGAATTTATTCACAGCTTCGGCCAAGATACGGTAATCGAGCATGGTAAGGTTCTGCATCGGTTGAATGTCTAGATGTTGTTAGCAAGAGATTGACGAGCTGCAGTCATGACACTCACTACCAAGATGACAGTCCCACGTATGACCATCGTATTCTCCACAGTCCACACATGGAAGATTGTTCAAATCTTCCATATAAGTGCGCAATGACTCCGAAACTGCCTCGGTCGCTTGCGCTCTCGATACTTCTTCTGCGCCACATACGTCTGGAGAGCCTATGTTGAGCTGGCCAAGTTCTTGCTGAGGGCTGGGCTTGTTTTCAGGCAATTGCCTATGTTCGTTATCAACAGAAGCTGGTCTGTCAGGCGGTTCCATGAGAGTATCTTCTAGTGTGAATGATTCCCCAAGCTGTGCGACTCCAGTGCGAGAGGGTGGCGAACCTGATTGAGGCGGAATCGGGCTTCCCATGCTATCCAAGAAAGGGGCATGCAATCTTCTGGAGAGTATCGTTGGGAAGACATGGTGAGAAGTGTCAGGGCTTGTTAGTACTTGACTGTCGCAAGCACTTTCGGCAGTAGCAGGAGGCTCGGCCGTAACAGCTACCGGACTAGAGAAGCTTTTAGCAGGAGCAGTATCGACAGTATTGGCAGTAGTGACAGACGTGGTCGCCGCGTTACATGGCAATGCAGCGTTCTTGTTGATTTCCAGCGGCAATTTTAGAGCTGCCACGACTGGAATCGTGTGCCCTGGTTGGGTCCCGCTCACAGCATATGGAGATCGGTATAGTGTATTCGAAGTAGCGATAGCCTTCGGATTACGAGAAGATGGATGCACCCAGTTATGCTGTGTAATACCTTGATCTAGAGTCGACGAAGTTGGTGACGTGGACGGCTGTAAACCCCACTCCAATGCAGCGCGAGGTATCGATGGCACGTACCTACCGGCAGATGGAGCGGGTGATATGGACGTAGATGCCAGTGAAGAGTCATCCCGAGGAGTGACTTGGTGGCGGCTCACTGTAGAGCTGGGAAGGCTCGAAACTGCAACTTCACGGGGCAACGCGCGCGCTGCGGGAGACCGTATCAGATGCTCCGTAGTAGCATTGAATGGGTTTTGTAGAGACGTAGTTTTGGACGCAGGCGTCGCTCGTGCTACTTGTGACATCTCCTTACTTTGAGCTCTCATGATTCGACCTACAGGAGGCTTTGGTGTAGCTTGTACCGGATGTTGGGGTTGTGCCGAAACCAAGGTTTCTGTGCGTGGTGTTACAGGCGAGGCAATAGGTTGATCTGGTAGCTGGCTTCCTGCATCGATGATATTTGGTCGCTGCGCTCTATACTTGCCTTCCCAGTACTGTCTCAATCTTGGCTCAGTACTGATAGGGTACAGCGGAATCTGTCCTCGCGATGATACCGGTAGACCAAGCAGCAAGCGTAGTTCATAGATGGTCTGAAGATGCTGTGATGAATTGCCTGATAAAGCCATGCTGATATTGGGATCATTGGCTCCCTTTATCCATCGAATGAAGATCTCGTCGAAGCCTTCGCTCGTGGATTCGGCAGCGCAAAGCACATCCTCCGGTGTAGTAAAGCCGCGAGCATAGGCGCGCCGGTCATCGTCGGTAGACTGAAATTTCCAGTATCCGCCCGCTAAATGTGACGTCTTTAACTGCTGCACGAAATGATCGAAATCACCGCTCGGAGTTGTCGCAATGCCAATGTACGCCGTTTCGTAAGGCATGGATATCGTCGTATCGGTATTGTCCTGCTGACGCGGCAGGGAATCGTCGCAATGATTATTGATAGTCGACGTCGTAGTTAAAACAAAGTTGCTGGGGTTGGTTTGTGTGAACAGCGGAAAGACGTTGTTGTCAAGGTAAACACTGAGATTGCGCCAGAGTTCAGAAGGTATACGCTGAAGAAGAACTTGGAAAGCGAAAGAGCGAGCGCGACTATTTCTAGTACAGAATGTGTTTCCATACATATACGACTGCGTGACATGTATCATCGACAATGAGATTGAGTTTTTGCCGCATGTTTACCGTTCATGCTGGGGTGCACGTGCGAGGCAGTTGCCTGGTGAGGGTGACCAGACATCACCACACAACCTTATGATTGTGGATATTTACAAGAGAATTTGTATACGAAGCCTGTTAGTACTGAAAAATAAGTGAAGAAATAACTCACTCGTCCTCTGTAATGCTCCATTGATTGCGACTGTCGCGTGAAAGCTGTCCAGAGTTCCGTTGCACAGGCATCGCCGAGGCCAGGACGGAGCCAGCTATTTTACGACTTGCGGGTGATGAAACACAAGCACAAAATTATAGTGATCCATCGTGTAGGCACATTAGATGAACAACGAATGGAGGAGTTGAGATGAGATGAAGAGACGATGTTCTTCATGAGTGATGTGTGGTCATGACACCATACGTCTACCTTATCGTTCTGTCCTCTACAACTCCTTCTTGTGAATTTCTTTCATCTAGTCTCAAACTTTGATCTTTCATGCATGACAGAATCGCGTGATGGCAAAAGAGGCTCTAGTTCTCCATCAATCTGACTACAGCCGCTGAGCGTCACAAGCAACATCGATCGCGCGCATCACCTGTACCTTCGCCTTGCGTCATCATTTGCCGACTGCCGCGCCCATCGATCAACGGTTACTTTGCAGCCAAATCTAAAGTCTCCATCTGCCAAACCACTCCAGAATAATAGGTGTTGCCTCCGCCTCCTTACAAGTCAGCACGCCCTCATCATCGCCCGTATCGCCGTTGAGGAACGAACTGGGCCAATCATGACCTAAATTCTCGTACTTGTAGTGCACGACCACATCATCCCAACTATAGCGCGTAACCATTTTCCCCACGTCCTTCTCACACAGATAACTCGTCTCGTTTGCGCTAACATCAAATCCATCGCGCCTAGCCCAGTCATCAACCCAAGTCGTTACATCAGTCGAATTAGCGTTTCCGCGCGTGTTGATGCCACCTGCGTACGGAATTGTCTTATCCTTCAACCCATGGAATTCCATAATCGGCACACGCCTACTAGGCTCGCAAAGAGGAGGATTTTCGTCTGCATCTAGGTAGAACGCACCAGACACGGGTGCAAATGCAGCGATACGTTTGGTGGCTTCTGCATCGCAAGCCAATACACCGGTGAAACCTCCGCCGTTCGATTTCCCGGTCGCGTAAATACGGGACGGGTCGATACAATAGGCGGACTGTAGGTGGTCGAGAAGTTCAAGTGTAAACGTTACGTCATTGATTGAGGCTGGGGAGTCGGGGTCGCCTTGGTATTGCTGGGTGCCTTTCGCGTTCTGAGGTGTGTATTAGCTTGTTATCTCAACAATCTCCAGCTCGTCGGCCAGGTTTTGAAGAAATGATTCACATACAGATACGCCTTCGGGGTATGCGACAATCCCATCGAAACCGTAGCTTGCGTTCGAGAACTGGCTCAAGGCTTCCTGGTATTCTGCGTCTTTGCCACGGCCATGGAAGGATAGGATGAGTGGGACTTGGGTGTTGCTGTCGTATGAGGGCGGAATATGTAAGCGGTACCTGCGAGGCGAGACACCGCTCGTGCTATCCAATGTCAAGTCGACGGATTGATCGAGCTTGACACCTGATGGAAGTGGCTTTTGGCAGCCATTGTCAGAATTGGACTTTGAGTCAAGTGTAGCGGCTGCTGCGGACAGCGCCGCAAGAACAGATAAAGTTGCCTTCATTCTGGTGGCTCGATGCTTTTGTGCATTACGCGGGCTTCACTTCGCACATTTATACATTTTCGACGATGTTCAGGCGCGCCGCAACGTCACATGCGCAGGTAGTGGATAGTCTTTGCCTTACTTAGGTAAAGGGCCGTTGATCGTGGCGTACGGCCCGCATCACTAGTCTGCAAGCTTCGTGTACAGTGCCGATCCGAAGTCTAGTCAGGTCTCTGAAATAGCAAATTGCCTCGATATCTCTCTTTTGGCAATCTTTTTCAATTTGATGGTTTCCTACGTCTCACGCCATCAGCTGATATGCTATCTCGTCCACGACAGTACCCAGGATTTGAATCATCTGAGTCTCTTTTCTATATTGTTTCCCACGCCAAGTGCTGCGAAAAATCTGCCATGTCGTCACCGTTGTCATTGACAAAGCCTTCTAGCTTCTCTGTCTATGTAGTCAATCACGCTTGACCATAGGCCCATGAGATTAGAATGTTTCATAGAATCATTCTGGACCATATACAACATGATAATACTTACACAGTGCATCTTCGGACGTGCGACTTCATGAGTTAATAGCCACTCTTCATATCGTAACTAAGCCTTTATCCTTCGAAACTCACCCCGGTGGCCGACTCCCGAAATCCTTCCCACATCGTTAAAGAGGCCTTCAGTCCAGGCCTCTTCAAGCTCTACACCGTGTTTTGCGTACCCTATCGCCTGAAAGAGGCTCCGCAGCTCTCCATCAGGATGCCAATCCCCGACTACCCACTGCAGTCGACGACATGACCTGGAATCTGTATGTCGTTCCGGCTCTGCGTATTTGACACCCCAGGCTAGAGACTCCAGACTATATAGCATCTTGTCGTCGTATTCGTATTCGCCCTCGGTTTTAGACCAGTAATCAATATCATTGCCTGTGAAACTTTTACCGGACCATTCTAAAGGGGACCATATGGCAGCTTCCTTGAGCTCTGGCATATTTATTGCTGCCTTGGCAAAGGATTCAAGAAGTGGGGTGAGATTAGCAGTAGGGGCGACGCGAAACTGCTTATTGAAAGCCGTACGCGGATCAGGAGCGTCGAGGAAGTCGTAGTCCATTTCCTCATCGAGCTCTGTGGGTGCATAAAGAGGATAGGAGGCACTGGTCACCGGATATCCACGTGGAACATGACCTTGCCCTGCCGGCCCTGAGAAGTACCAGGTTCCATCAGGGCGTGCGTTGTGAAACATAATGTCAAGTACTTCCAAGCGTGGCCAAGAGACATGTAACTCTGCCAAGCTTTTTGACGGTGCCAAAAGAAGAGACTCGTCAATCATCGCTCGTAGTTGCAGGTGGCAAAGATTGTTGCATAGCACACCAAGACTCGAAGTGAATAGATCGTATGCCAAGTGACCAACTAGATCGGGCAATGGTCTGCCATGATGTATATCCGTTGCACGAAGCAATGGGTTCAGGAAATCAAGCGAGGCACGCCTTAGCGTTCTTGGTATCTTATCGAGACTGCGGGTGATAATGTGCCGGTGCAACGAGTGCTTAGTCAATACTGAGGAGTATATCCATAGTGTTTCGGAAGCAGTTGCTGGCCATCCATCCTTCTCCTACACAGCTATCATCAACACTCTTCATGCGATTCTTGCTTTTCAGACTTCATCTTGTACACTGGTAGCCTACGCAGGCATTACCACACTCATTTAGCTTTCGAGTACAACTGTACAACACCTGTACATCCTTCTCCCCTTGGCTGTGCTGAGGAGATACATCGACATCCTCGTGATAGTGTCTTCATACACTCCAACACCCGTACAATAGCATCTGCAAAATCGTGTCGAGCATCTCGACGAGGCCCTGCCCAGTCGTGCTCGTAATGCTCGATGCATGTATTCTCCTCTGGATTAAACGATTCGCACGATTCGTATCCTCCAGTTCGGAAGCCCAGATATTCAAGATTAGGCATTCTGATCGTTAGATCAATGAGAACGCGCAAGTCGAGCTTGAACTCTTGTTCATCAGATCTGTCCCAATGGAGGTAAGGACCGGATGGATGGTTGTCGTAGTTATTGTAGATTTCGAACGACCGAATAGATGCGACTGGAGACAGCTCGGCTTCCAGTAGCCGAATACGCCAGCTAGTTAGATAGCGATGAGGACATGCGTTTTTGGCACGTATTGTTCTGACTGGGCTGCAAAGTGACAAACGATATCTGCCTGGGCATGCCTTTCACCGGCTTGCTTCTCGACTAGTTGAAGAATGTGGAAGAGGGATTGTATCTGTCGTGTAAAAGACTCGTCCCTCTCATACACCCCATGAGCAGGCTCTCGACACAGGACTTGGTCGTCGTCGCTACTGTCATCTTCATTGTCGCGTGGACCACACAGCATTGGGAAGGTTGGCCGGAATATCACTTCTTTCAGGTAGAGAAGCCGATGACTAGAGAAGCGCGCAAGGAAGTCGACCGAGTTGTTTTCGTTGATAGTGAATTTTGAAAAAGCTCTGCAGTGCCTCTCAGCAGCAAAGCGAAACTTGCCAGTTAGGGTAAGGACATTGCACAAGTCTCGCCTGGGTAGATAGCTGGAGATTTTATCGATGAGTTCTTGTGGGAGTCCTTCCATCATATCCTGGTTGTCTGTAAATGATGTGACGAAGATTTGTGATGATGTCTGGGGAAGATCTGTACACTCGATGACAGGTAGCGACCAGGTTGTTGTGTGGGTTTCGCAAAATTATGTCAGACAGTCAATAACCGTGTTGGAAGCGCACCTGGCAACTTTAAGACCTGAGAGGGTTTGCGGCGTAGTCACAACAACAATACTTTGTCATTATATCTGCGACTCAGGGATGCCCTGTGTGACAGATGAGGAGCACGCTAAGCCAGTATGAGACGATCCGAAGCACTCCGAGCGCTAACGCAGGGGCGAGGAACAGCCGTGTTCCTTCCTCCCCTCAGACAATAATCCCAGTCGTTCTGAACACGTGAATGTCCTACGCCACGCAGGTTTTCCACGCATCCCGTTGCGGCATTCACGCATCGAAAGCAGCCACTCTACCAGTTCTCTGGCTTTGGCCAGTCTTTGACCTTGTCCCACTCGTCACTTAGTTTTTTGATAAGAGCCAGGGTTTCTTCTTGGGTCTTCTTTAGTCCTTCTTCGTCTGATCATCGTTCGAATCGGCCTTGAACTCATCCTTTTTCTTGTCAGAGTTCCATTTATCTTTCAACACACGAATATTGAGTTTTATGTAATCTGTAGTCCTTTGCTTTGCCACCGAGGATACGTTGTCCATGTAAGCATTCCATTTTTCTTCGAGTTTTTGTTCCTGCCACGGACGCCCCTCCACTACATCCTCATACATTGGGGATGTCTTGTGCAGCTCTCGGTCGATATGCCCAATCATCGCGCCCATTCTGTTCTTCTGGTCTGCAAATATCTTTGCAACCTTTTCATCTTGCATGTATGTGAGAGCTCCAATCGTCTCCCGTAACCGTTGGATCGCTATGCGGGTTTGGTCTGCAGGATCCAGATTTAGGTTTTTGAAACGTTTTTCCTTTGTTCGCCCTTCTATCAGATCTTTCATCTTCTTCTTGTCACGAATATGTGAATCATGCTTGTCTTTGGTTTTCTCCTGGTTGGATAACTGTTGCATGACACTTGTTGATATGATTCACTCTGCTCAGGTAGCGTAAGGCGTTGAACGTACTCATCCCTTAACTCTTGTGAACACAGGATCTAGAAAAACACAAAGAAGAGTAAGAATATTCAACTAAAACAGCTGCAAATTTCTAGAATAATTTTGCTCTAGCCTAATTAGCAATTCCTACACTCTTCCTTCAGCTGTATTACCACTCGTCTGCTCCTAGAGGTTACCTTTAACATACATCTGCTAATACAGCGAGCAGTACAGGGTACGCATCGTTGGTCTGAGGCTTAGCATGCAGCTCATTTCCCCCGATCAGCGTTAGAGGCAGATCATCTAGTACTCCCGGCATAAGTCTCAACCTCTTCGCCAGATCCTGGTCCATAGTATTAGGAAGCTTAAGTACAAGATCCACCCCATATGCTAAGAGGAGCTCGGTCGTCTTGTATACCGGCTGCTTGCAGTCCTCAGGTGCGGTCGCAGTCAGCTCTGGGAGCAAGGTGCGAAAGTCGTCAATATTCCTGTCTAAGAGTCAGCATTCCCAGTCTTTGTTTCCCAAGGAGAGTTTGGATCCCACCATAGCCCTCGCTTAACGTCAAACGGACAGATTCCCGTATATGTGAGCGTCACTTCGAATTCACTCTCCGATGCAATATTCACGTCATCATCGTTCTCAATCTCGGAGATCCCAAGCTGGGACCATGTCAGGTTCTGTAGGTTCTTGAACGAGATGATCCTCTGATCCGGCGATGTGATCTTCTGAGAGTACTCGTCCCGCCATCGCTTCGCCGTGCTGTTGTACCCGGAGAGGTAGTACCGGGGTCGGTAGACGATGTCAGTTTGCGTCGCATTGTCGCCGTTGACGATATCTACGTCTGTGTAGGCACAGTGCATGTTGTTTCTGTGAAGGGAGACCCATCAGCATGATATCCAACCATGGCAGAAGTGTACGTACCCTTGCTTCGGCTCGAGCCTTGCCTGAGCATCATCGAACATCTCCTTTGCAAGTTTCACTGACGAAGGCCTCAACTTATTTGCCAAAGCGTCGCGGACCCTGCATGCATCGAGATAGTCTGTGGCGAACTGGTTCATCCAGTCCTGGAACTGAACAGTAGGATCCAGCGCCTTAATTTTGGCAAACTTATCAACGGCTTTCTCATACTCCGTGTCGGCGTTGGCTTTGGCTTGGATGTACTCCAGCTGCGTCTTCTTCTCTGCTTCGGCGTCGGATGAAAATGCCTGTGTCCATGATCAGTTCAGGTTTCCATGGCTTTGGAAGATCGCATCGTACTCACATCCTTAACATTACTGAGATATTTGTTCAGCCATCCAAAATAGTCACCAACTCCCGACCGATAGATCGGCGACAAGGGCGACTGTATGGAGTTGCTGTGCTGGAAGATGGCCTCGTTGATGAACTCTTGTTGGACGCCTACTGGAATGCCCTTTTGTAGTGGATTTGTAATGAATAACGCCTGCTTCGTTACGCTCAGATCGTTGTCCGGGGTCATCAACCCACGGATACTGTGCGCATAAGCTTTCAGCAAAGCAGACCGTTTCGCCTTGATCTGCGGCTTGCTGGGCGGCTCGAAAGAGTTCGGAGGCGCAATTATGCTGGATGGGATGCTCGAACTGTCTGCTGAGTCTGTCTCACCAAGCAGACGTCCAGGACAACTGTTCGCCGCATTGGACCATCGTGGAGGCCCAAGGGCTAGTTTTGGGGGAGCATGTACACTCTTTTCTGGCTGAAATGCGGTGTCTAGTAAAACTCCTGCTTGTAGCAAGGGTTTAAGCCAATCTGGGATATCGCTCATGGTGAGTTCGAGAAAGTTCCTTATGTTTTCTCAGGTCCACTGTGGGGATGGGATTTGAGGTTCGAAACGAACAATGAAAAAGATCACAAGCAGAAAATCTTCAACGTGGTAAGACATGGGTGCACTTATAGGTATGCTCATTGCAACTCAGCCTTAGGGGAGACAAACCTCAGCTGTGCCGTGCAGTGGATGCACATGCATGTACTAGGTGGATCGCGAGTCTAGAATCCTGCCTGACTACAGTAACTGTGTGCGTAACGAGCCACTTCGCGTAATAAGCTACCCGACATGCACGAATGCTGCCAGGACTTAAGCGCCATGCTACTAGATTAAAGACAACTATTTCATTACTGTGCTGTGGCCGTCATCGTCACGAGGTGAAAACTAGCTTTCTCAAATGAGTGAACTTTCATAGCGAGAAACCGGAACACAGACTGCTGCGCAACCCTACTACTTGATCTTCCTTAAATTCAGCGTGCAACTAAGCATTGAACTTGTTCCCGATGACTGCCAGCATGGAGCAGCCACCGGAGACAAGAGTCGGCTTAATCTCGTACCAGCCGTCTGTCTCCACCAGGTCCGAATCGTGCGTGGTGGTCTCCTCTGTGCTGCCACCACCGCCGCCAACCGTGAAACCGAGAATAGAGATTCCACCGGAGCCGCCCTTGACTTCCTTAACGGCACTTTCGAAGGCATTCTTGATGGAGCCGGTGAACTTGACCCTGAGCTTGACACGGGATGCGCAGAAAAGCTGGGTCGGCTGAACAGCGTCCTTGGCAAGATCGACCTCGCCGATGGTGTTCGGATATGTGTGGCGGAATTGCTTAACATTCCTGTCGTTCGAGTTAGTATCGATGCTATTGACTGAGAGGCATGTTCTGGATCAGCTTACCAAGCGCCGGGGTAAATGCTGAACAGGCCGCATCGCTGCGCGCTGAGCTGGATCTCGAAGGAGCCTGTCTCGTCGACGACCTTTGAGTCCTTCCAGTCTTTGCTCCCACCGCCACCGATGCGGATCCAGCCGAAATTGAAGCCACCAGTGCCCTCTTCGTGGCCTACTTTTGTCCAGTCGGAGTGCTTCGTATCTTCAGACTTGATAGTCCATTTGTACTCGGGATCGGCATCAATTCGAACACGGAGCCACTCGTCCATGGTGGCTTTGAAGGTAGGATCAGTCGCATACGAAGGGACGAAGTATCCTGGCTGTTCAACCATAGGCGGAAGTGAGCCGATAGTACCGTCCCTCACGGCATCAATATACTTTCGGTAGTCGTTCGTAGAGATCTGGGTGTCTGTAACCTTCATATTGAGACTGACATACATATTAGCATTGGAGAACATGTGGCACATCTCACTCACCCAGTCACTGGCAGAGTGCGGTTGTCAGCCTGAATGAACAAGTTTTGCTGGTTCGTGAGCTTAGCGGCACCAGGACCAAAGATCTGTGAGTTGATCTGGGTAACGTGTTGTGCACGAGCATCTCTCTCCGACTTGGCAGTGAACAGCAATGGCGCATTCGACGTAGCCCAAGTTTGGAGATCGACACCGGCACCTTTGCCGGAGAAGTCATCCTTTGTCCATTCATTGGTGGCATCGGTTCTCGCGGCCGCATAAGCTTTCAAAGCCTTGGCCGCCGCTTCGTTGGCTTCCTTCAATTGTTGTTCAAGTCCCTGGTCAACATTTTCTTGCTATTATTCGGATGTCAGAGGGGGAAATGACGAATCAGACGATTTGTGTCTTACCAATTTGACGGCAGCGATATATCTATACGCCATTAGCCCGGTTATGGGTTCAATGACGCTACAAACTCACCTCTGAAGGTTATCAAAGTAGCTTCCTTGTGTGCCAGGGTTGTAAACTGGACTTGAGCTGGAGATCAAAGCATCGCAAAGCTGGCTCAAGGTAAAGTTCATGTTGGCATCCGGAACGAAGCTTCCAGCCGCGGGGCCCTTGTTGACCGCCGAAGCAATGTAGTAGACGGAGTTCGGATCGGGCTTGCCACTTTTGCCCGCCCAGTTCTTGATACCCTCGGCATACTTGCACCAGATGTCGTCGCTGAGAGTGCTCATGGCGCCGCTAGGTTATAACTGTATAGATGAGTGGTAGATTGATGTTGCAAAGGAGAATGAATGGATGGATGAGCAAGAAATTGTTGAGGGGAATTGATTGCGTTTTATACATTCGACCCACGCAACCTTCAAGGCATATAGGACAACAATTCTTCAGCACGTTTGCAGAGTGGTCTCACCAGGATGCCTTACACGATACGATCGCTGTCGACGACGTCTAGATCCTTCACAACGAACCGAATATCATTCCGACGGACTGATGCAACCTGCAAGATGCTAGAATCAATACATGCTCAGCTCTTCATGCATCCATCGAAGTCTCGACCAGAACGAAATGGAGCTCTTCAGCCCCAATTCTCAAACGAGAGCTTCGGACGACGAGGATGAGATGACAGCCGACCATTCATGTCCCAGAGAAGAAGATGAGCTGAAAAAGCCATCGTTTAAGGCTCCGCCAGTCCAAAGTAAGTGCTCGAGCTGATTGATAGTATGAGGGTGCGGGCTACAGCATTTGGGGTAATGGACATTTGAACGGGCGAAGATGAGCCAATCCCTACGTGTAAGGGCTGGCGATACCTGTCAGCTCGCTACACACGAATGTTTAATGGCTTCTGTATGATGAGTTCCACATTGGTGTTGCATGCGCGAGTAGCGATCAATCGAGGTGGGTAATCTGTCGAGTCGTCCAGATTGCTGCACCCTTTCCCATGATTGGCATCGTACATGCATTCGAGCGATGTGGGTCCGAAAAGGGTATTCAGTAGCCTCCATAGGCTATCCCACACTACCTCGTTCTTTCCTTGACGAAGCTGTGGGACTGAATCCACAATCGCGTACGGAGTATTGGAAGAAGCATCGTCCTAGCTCATGCTATGCACGGGAACGCTTATACCGGAGTCTCTGTTTGACCGCAGGCCTGTGTCATACTCTATACAGGTAGAAGCGCCTTACTCCAGACCAGAAACGAGTTGCTTAGAGTGCAAGTCTGGCTGAGCTGAACGGGCTGGGGTAACCGAACCGCGCCAAGCTGAACCTGGCTGAGCTGAACGGGCCGGGCGGGGTAAACTTGTGGCCGCCATGTGGGACGACGCACGCTCAGCCGCTTCCCGCAGAAGTCGCTCGAACTCCTGTTGGTCTCTTCGTATCCTCCAATGGAATATGCGTCACCTCTTCTACCATCGAAGGCAGGAAGCTTTCACCCCCGCGCTAAGCTCCTGTTAGTCTCTTCGTAACGCTCAAAAAGAACCTGCATTAAACCTTGTATTTGTGAATGCAGGCAGCTCTCAGCTCCAGAGGCGTTCTCGAATCGCCAAGCGAACCACGGCTCGCTCGCAGTAGTCCATGTTCATAGCTGTATGTGCATCCTGCACAGCTCGAGATCCTTTTGGAGGCCGCGCTGGTACTCTTGCATTGCGAAGGATCTGTCAATGGAGCTTGTTTACATCCAATTGGACAGCAGTGACAGCAGTCACTGCATCAACAGCGGTTTCTACAACGTTCGAAGACCGAGCTCATACTTTTTCGGGCAAGCTGAAGTCCGATACTGGTGGCCTCTACGCAATTCTTTCTTCTATCTATGCCTCGAGAAGGACCGGAAACGTGCGCATAGCTAAGGGATCTAGATTTGAAGCCATGACCATGTATCCGTTAGCCTCTGCACGCAAAGCAATGCAGAGGGACCATTGCGTCCTGCATCAAGCTTCGCGCTATCACACTTGTTCGGAATGCTATCAGATTCTTCGCTCCTCATTGCTTCCATCTACAACGTCATACTATAGGCTAACTATAGCATCGTCGTTTAAACTAAACTCCAGTTAATTTATCCTAGACTGAAGTCACAGCTACGTGCAACAGTTCTGATGAATTAAAGGCATTGACCTCATTTATCGATATAGAATCTAGAGACAATGCTCCGAATAATCCTCCCACTTACACGGAAAAGCCTGGCATCATTTTGGACCTTCAGAAAGAGTTTCCGGAATACCATAGACGACGCATGACCGTCTATGTCTGCCAGGCATCCTATGGCGACACACTGGCCCTCGAGATCGACCACAATCCGCCCAAACCGGGCATCACCTATCGCGATGATGAAGTCAAGGTGGGAATATCCTCTCAAATGTGTCTATTTAGACGAATATCTAATGTCTAGAGACGTAGAGCAAAACTCGCCGTGTGATCCTAATTGACGGAGGCCCCGTGGCGAACCAGGCCAGTGGAAAGAACTCATCCCGACACCCTAAACGCCAGTATGGCACCTCACTTCGAATCCCTCCACAAATCTGGGCACCCCGTCCTCCTAGCAAACGTCTACGACGGCATCACCGCTCGTAAAATCAGTTCCCTTACCACATGTCACGCCCTAACAACAAGCTCCTACTCCGTCGCCGAAGCAGCCGGCCTCACCGACGACGAGATGGACATGGAAACGAACCTCTCCGCCGCCAAGATCATATCCAAGATCGCTAATGAGCTGAACAAGCCGCTGACCGTTGATTTTCAGGACGGGTATGGAGGAGGGGATCAGGAGACCTGTGGGATTGGGTGTTGCCGGGTGCAATCTGGAGGATAAGGACAATGCTTCCAGGAAGATGATGACGGTGGGGGAAGGGGCTGAAAGGGTGGGGAGAGCCGTGAGAGCGGCTAGGGAGGCGGGAAGCGCGGATTTCGTTGTGAATGCTCCAGTGGATATCCTTACTGTTGGAGGGGATATCGAAGAGGCGGTTGAGCGGGGGAAGGCGTATCTCGCTCCCGGGGTGTCTAATGTCTTTGTTTGGGGAGGGAGTCGAGGGGGAAAGGTTGCTGGAGGTGGCTTGAAAAGGGATGAGGTAGTGAAATTGGTTGAGGCGTTTGAGGGAAGATCGAATGTCATGGTGAGGCTTGGGGAGCTCTGCGACGATATCACATTGCAAGATTCAGGGTGTAAGAATAAGAACAGAAATCGATTCATTTGTGAAGGGTGTGTGACAAAGCCCGAGCAAGCGCTGCTATGTGTTATCTCGGGCTCGAAGAGACTTTACATAGGTACAGGAACGCGCATGGCCAAGGTCTTGCATATCCGATGGCGAGGTAATTCAGCCCCAGTTTCTGTGAGGGTTGGAGGCCAAAACTTCGCGAAGTTCTTCTGAAACAACCGCGAACGCGACCGTACTCTTGACTGTCATCGTCTCCATATTGCGGCGTTGTCGCGGCTCAACGATGGCGAGTACTATGCTCGCTTGCTGCCAGCTACGCCCCGGAACGATGCAGATGCGCATCACACGAGTGTCAGCGAACATTTGAATGAGCCTAACGCTTACATTGTAAAACATCTAGATACAAAGAATGGATTGTCGTCGCCGCCGTTCTCACTGATGAGCGAGTATGGTCGTATCACTGAGAGCGGAGAAAATCCCATGCCGCATGGAAACTTAGTCTGAAGGTTTCGGCCGCGGTATGAGGTCGTGAACTAGAGAGAGAAAAGAGAAAGCATATTCTAAGATGATATGCGAAATGCAAGTTATAGATAATGGATCTCTCAATACATGCCTATACTTTTGCTTTACAGCGATGATCAAGACATGCGACCCAATTCGTCCAGTATCTGCCCTGGGTGGCATCTGTGGATAGCATACTTCGATGCAGCCTTTGTCATGTTTTCTGTGTTCTTATCAAGGGTACTTTAGATTGCGTTCGTGTGGGTATCACTAGAACGAATATACCATTCATCTCAGTTTCCAGTACGCAAACCGACATAGACCGCAGCTTAAAAGTGCTGAACGAATTGTACGTCAACACAAAGTAAGATAGGCAACGCTGAATCTTATCAAATTTGGATGCTCGGTGGTCAGGATTTCTGGAGGCACAACTGGTGCCTGATTTTGAGCCTACGATCGCCAGCCTACAATAGCGAAGTAGGCACGCGGCCCGGATTATCATACCCATCATCGTAGGTCCTATGGCCGTGATCATGACATTAAAAAGCTTTAATGAACATCCAGTGAGGGAGATCGTCGGCATACATGTACTTCAGTTCCCAATGCTCAACCAAATCTTCACCATGCTTCTCGCGTCCAATTTGCTGGAAAAGGCTGTGCAGCTGCGCGTCAGGATGCCAATCACCCACCATCCAAGCCAAAGCACGTGTCGCTGTATAACCTTGCTCTCTTTGGCTTGTCGGATCATGCTTTGCCATGTTAACACCAATATCTTCATCGGAATATTGTATACCCCATGTGAGATTTTTTCTTTCGATTCCGTCATCATATCCCTCGGTCGGATCCCACAACAACGGCGACCGGATAATGGCTCTCTTTAAGGAAGGCATCTGTACTGCGGCCCTGGCGAAACCTTCCAGCAGCGGTCTGAGTCGTTGTTCATCTGGTGTGATGCGGAATTCATTGCTATGACCATTAGGCAAATCTACAAGAACAGATTGATCGTGTAATCGCCCCTCCATCTCAGCGTCGAGATCATTCGCTTCGAAAGGCGGGTAGGAGGCAGCAGTAATTGCATAACCCACAGCGTCGCGACCCTGACCTCTAGGTCCATGAAAGTACCACGATCCGTCAGGCCGTGATGGATGAAACATGACCTCTAGAATTTCCAGGTTAGGCCATGCCGGCTGTGAAGAATCGTCAATATGAAATAAGCTTTCGTCGATGATGGCCCGTATGCGGAGCTGCCGAACGTTGTTGGTTAAGAGACGAAGACTGGAGCTGAATGGGTCGTACAGCGCTGGTCTGACTAGGTCAGGTAGCATCCTATCCTGTACAGTATCCAGTGTGCGATATAGTGGGTGGACAAAGTCTAGGTTCGCCCGTCGGAGTGAAGCTGGGAGCTGAGCTTCATGTCTGGTAACGGCGCTTGCAAAATCATGTCTTGCATCACGACGTGGACCGTCCCAATCGTGTTGAAAATGACGATTGGGTTCTTCGTCACCACCCTGGTGGCAAAAGGGCGGGTGCCATTCGAACCCTCCGGTCTTGCAGCCCATGTACTCAAGGTTTGGGAGTCTCGATGCTAGTTTGACCATGATACCCAGATCCAGCTTCAATTCATGTCCCTCCCAACTGCTATAGTCTGGTGGGTAATCATGAGAGTCATGACAGATGTCCGTAACTTCCTTGCATATATTGTAGATCTCTAGAGAACGAACGGAATACACCAGAGGCATTTCGGTATTGAGTAGTTGAACTCGCCAGCTGCTATACTGGCGATGCGGACAAGTGATGCTGTTGTCATGGAGCAGTCTCGTAGGGCCGTGCACCAGTAGTCGATATCGTCCTGGGGCATGATGTCCAGCATTTTCCTCGACGGTTCTAAGGGTTTTATAGATAATCTGCACCTGACATGTGAATTGTTCATTCTTCTCTCTTATTTCATCCGCACTTTCGCGACATTCGATTTCTTCATCCTCCTCGCCGGCTGGGGGGGTCCAGACTAGTGGAGGAAGATTGGGTCGAAAGATCACTTCCCGTAGATATAGTAGACGGTGCCCTGAGAAAATCTTAACAAACCTGTCGGCATTGCGCTTGTTTAGGGTGTATTCCGTAAATGCGCCAGAGTACCTTTCTGCGCTGTAGCGAAACTTCGTTGTGAGAGTGAGAAGGTTCTTGAGATCCTCCGTGGGTACATAACTAGTAATCTTCTCGATGAGTTCCTGCGGTAGTTGATCCATAACTCGCTGGTTAGCCTAATGGATCGACCGGTATTGATGTGCTTGGCACTTTCTAGAAGGTACAGATTTGACGAGAGATCAATGGTGACTGTGTGTCCAATGTGTGTCCAACATGTGTCCAATGCGTGTCTGATTCGTTGAGCGACGACCTGTGTAGTTGAGAAGAGTGCTGGAATTGTAGCGAGCGCTCACTCGACTTTTGTTGATCTGGGCGGCGTTGCGGCGTGGGCCTTGGAATCTATTAATGTGTACTAGCCCTATAAATGGAAACAACATCACTCGGAACGTTCCGACGCGTTCCGAGCGTTGACAGGAAGAAAGACAACGCCAAGAAGTCTTAGATACCTTCTTCCCAGTCATCACCCGTTGTGACAACCGATTGCTGATATCGCGCTGGCATAACTGACTAACATCCTTTGCAGACTACAAGCCGCCGGTTCTATCCCTCCAGTTCTCTAGTGAATCCCCACTGAAGGTCATCTCCAGCATCGCCATGCCAAACTCATCAACGTCAGCTGGTTTCGCATAGTGAAAAAGCCTCGCACACTCGAAGCGCTGCAAGAATGCCACGTTCTTCTCCAAACACTGTCTTTCCCACTCCGCAGCGCTCGAAGCATTCCAAAGACCACTTCGGTTAGTGTACATGATGCCACCAGGACAGGTTCCCCAGCGCTGCTGGAGGACCGAGAAGACGGGCGATAGACTGACGGTCACGAGCCAGGTGCGACGGATACTTTCTGACAGTATCCACGAGTACCACTGTTGCTGCAGGTAAGTAGACAGCTTGGGTAGGCAGTTGGCGAGATGAGCGATGCTATCTTGTTCAGTCGACAATGCGGTTCTGGCAGTGGAGAAGAGTTTTCCAGCCCAGCTATCCTGTATCGCCATATGCCCTTCAGCGACATGACGGGCGCGGACGTCACCATCGAAGAGACCGATCATCTGGTAGACTAAAAGGGCATGAAGACGTGTCAATTGCTCCCATAGATCATCATCAAGACCTGCAACATCGACCCACTTCTCTGCAGTAGTTTGATCCAAAATGGCTCCATTCTCCCGTAACAAGTCGTTCGATCGATCTTCCACTATGCGGAGGACGATTTCTGTATTCGCAGGTGTCCGATACACATAACTAGCTAGGGTGGCATACGCGACTTGTACGCATGCTGGAAAGTTCACACCGTACAAGCAGGAGTGTACAAAGGGATTGCTACCAGTTGTGACCCAGCTTTTGAACCAAGACTGCAGTACCGTCACGTACTTCTTCATGGCTGCTGTGCCGATTGGTACATCGTCTGAATTTGTCGATCTGCGGGATATCGTCCACGTCTCCGGTGCAAGAAACCAATCGGTCTTCATTGCGCTGGGGATTCGGAGCTGAGACTCCGGTGCGTCGATGTCACTGCCAAGGGATGGTAATCCCACGTCCCACATGAGATTATCGATGGTGTAGGGGCTCGCATTGACATGCAACGTACTGACTTGGCTTTCGGCGAACGACGTATCCTCTCCTCTCAGCACTGGCACATCCGATAACAAGTGTCGATATGAAGAAACTGTCTGCTTCTTTGATGGCGGATAGATGCACGACTTGCGCTTGTCCGCGCATCGAGCGCAAGCTGGGATCTGGCGACCGCATTTCCGCTTTGCTCTTGCGCAGGCAGTGCAAGCGTTTGACTCGGATCGCAACGACATTACCAAGGTATGGCTGCCCAGTAACTTTCTTGCAGGTTTATTAGGTCTATTCTGTCTTGTGCGGAAGTCGAGGTAGAGTAAGCGCACATTTGTCATCCGCTGAGCTCATGCTCATTGGACAGACGGCCGCAAGGCGGGAGACTAGTCCGCAATGCGGCATCCTGTAAAACAAGGTTACCGATCATCAATGACGCGTATCGCATTGACTGAAGGACTAACTTACGGAAGGGATATGTATGTAACTGCAGTCAGCTTCAAGCTGCCTCACATTCGCCGAGAACCGCTCTTTGTAAGCCGCCAAAATGCCTACTGCTTCGCGACAAAGACACCACGCAAAGCCGAAGTTCTTTGCGCTGACATATCAGCGACGCAGGATTCATTACATATCTCCCATGCCGCAACATGAACCCGCAGCGGTCAGAGTCTTACCTACCTGTATTGCGGCGGACAAGTATTTGTGCGCGGGATAGCTCCAAGAAGTCCGCAAACGTGCAGTGTAGCGGATGAATCTTTCCGTTTATAAAGATGACAAGGTGAACACAATGTCTGCACCCCATCTCAACCTCTTTGAACCACAAGATATCCCAGAGACCTCAATCGCAATATGTCAGTCTACGTAGTCACCGGTGTGTCCAAGGGAATTGGAGTAAGTATACCCTGTATGGTGACATACTTGCGTTTTGCTAAGTTCGGTCCAGTTTGAACTCCTCAAGCAAATTTCACAAGACCCGGAGAATCTCGTTGTCGGTCTGGTTCGCGACCAGGCGTCTACCAAGAAGAAAGTGATCGCAGAAATAGGCGAGCGTCCAAATATCCATATCCTCAGTGGAGACCTCACCAGCCACGCTAGCCTACAGCAAGCCGCTGCAGAGACCACCGAGATCGTCGGTGAACGCGGTGTCGATTATCTCATTGGAAACGGAACATTTCCGTCTCTCTTCGATGCTTTCGACCCTATCGGCGCGTTGTAAGCTTACATCTGTTTCCGTCTCATCAGTTCGCCCATGTCTAACGTCGGTCATTCGATAGGGGCGACAAAGTTGAGGAACTAGAACAAGTCTCCTCAAAGCTGTTCATGACCAACGTTGTCGGCAACATCCATCTCTTCAACCTCTTCCTGCCTCTTGTCATCAGAGGTAAGGTGAAGAAGGTCATCGCCATCTCCAGCGGCCATGCAGATCTCGACTTCATCAACAATCTTGAAGTCGAGAACAGTTCCTTGTACGCCGCATCCAAGGCGGCCCTGAATGCAATTGTCGCCAAGTTCAACGCGCAGTATAAGAAAGACGGCGTTCTGTTCATGAGCATGAGCCCAGGCGTGGTAGAAGTAGGCCATTTTGACGATCGTTCGTAGACCGGTGAATCTAGGTGATTTCTAGTACTCATGCTGACACTGATTCGCAGTCACCCCCGACCAGATGCAAGGTCTGATGAACTTCATGGGCAAGATCTCAATCTACGCCCCTGATTTCAAAGGCGCGACGCCTGTTGAGGATGCTATTCCGATTATCAGGTCGACATGGGAGAAGGCCAGCATTGAGGATGGATATGGTGGTGCGTTTGTCTCCCACCACGGAACCAAGCAGTGGCTTTAGACCAGAATACTTGTACATCATGAATGCGAGCAGGACTTGTTCACATCCCTGCTGAGCCTAGATAGTAGTGAAGAGGGTTGATCACAATCGCTGAATATTCGGAGCAAATATACTTTGGCCTAGCTGAGCATTACGTGCTTTTTCGTCATTACAAGCCGTTGACACCTAGCGACGTCCAAAGCACGTTGGAGAACGCTGAGGCATCTTTTCCCGAAGCTTAGATACCAAGGCATTGAATGTACGGAACAAAAAGGCATACTTCTCTTGAGATATGATTCGATGACAATCCTGCTGGTAATGCTGGTGTTGTGATCAGAGTTACGACGGTAGTCATTCCTGGAAAGCCATGGACACCATGCCAAGCCACGCTAACTCCATCGGGATGCCATTCACACGGTACCATGGAACGCAACCCACGATATATGCAAACACGTAGGGTTGCAGCAGATTTTTGCAGCTCTGCTCGCGGTCAGTGAATGCGAACATGCAGCGTGGCCTGTAGATAGACCGTGATGAACGTAAGACGATCGCGCAGGTCCCACCTATTCCCGGCGATCGCCCATTTGATTGGTCCATTTCGCTTGCAACTTCCTTGCCTCTCAACCCGCCCAAACGCATCCGCTTGTTCACGCTCGACATCGCCGCTCACCGAAACCTTTTCCATCGCCAAACAGCACCCCACGACCTCTTTTCATCACTTTCGACGCGATAAATCGCATGCCGAGGCCAGTGCGACACTTTTGACACCCATATCAGCAGTATTGAGGCGCGTTGGTGGTCGGATTAGCGCTTCTGGGAGCGTGACTCCTCTTCGCTGGGCCGCCCCCAGGCGCCAGATTTGCACCACGCCCCATACGCAGCCCAAACGACCCAAACATTTGTCACGTGCGCTTCGCTGCGACAACAAACAATGACGGCTCGCGCAACTGGGCAGCGCTTTAGGCAGCGCAAGCTCTCGACCAAACAGAATTTACCTGTCGTCCGCGAGAGTGAGGTTGAGCAGCTTGCTGATGACGATGCGTCGCGCCATATTCCCAAGGTTGAGACCGGTGTTGAGAAGGGCGAGGAGATTGTAAGTCGCGCTAGTCCGCTTTTGGCTTTCACTTCCCCTGCCCTGCACAATACACATACTTACATCATTTCTAGGAACACCATCTACAGGCCGTCATCTCCGCCGCCCAGGCAGCTGCGCAAGGCGCAACTGGTGGGAAGATTGCACAACTCTACATTCCGACTCCGGATGCTGTCGCCAGCACACTGCAATATGAAGATGTCTATCCAAAACGGTTTACACAACCTGCCACTTACATACGGTTCTCGTCAACCGTGGAGGATACGTCCGGCTGCCCGTATTGCATGAACAGTGATGATCTCGCCTTTCTCAAGTCTTACAACCAGAAAAAGGGCAAGAACAACAATTGCTCAGAAGACGAGTTCGAAGAGGTTATGAACTTTTTCGAAGAAACCACAGCAATCAAGCAGCCGTATGCCGCGGTCGACAACTCGTCTGCTCTTGCCTATGAGGAACTTGAAGCCGAGTTCGATGAGACAATCAGCGAGTCGGCGCGGCGGTTCGCCAAAGACATTTATCCACATTGGAAGAATCAACGATTACTAAAGGGCAACCGCCCGTTGATGCCCTCACTGAAATTCGAGACGAATCTCGAAACCGATGATGCTGACCCGTATGTTTGCTTCCGACGTCGTGAG